TAACATAAAAAATATAAAACATGATAAATATTGCATTTTATTTATTTTATTTTATTTTCATATAAAAAATATTTTTATTAAATTATATACTAACTATTTTTCTTAAATAAACTTGTAAAATAAAATAGACTTAGATATATTTTTATCCATTTTTCTTCATACTTGTAAATATTTATTTTGACATATAAAAAGACTAAATATTTTCATAAATATTATTTATTATTTTAAGACAAAAAATACACAAAAATAATACTTAAAGAACTTTATTTTCTTAAGTTAGAAATTAGGGTTAACCACTTTTCAAGAAATAATTTCCTTTTTTTAATATCATTAGGTTTAATTCAAAACTCTTATTTATATGAAAAACAAAACAAAAATCTTTTTCTTGCATACATACCATTGCATATTTATATTGTAAATTATTTATTCAAATATTCGTACAAATTCGATTTGGTTGTAATAGCTTAATTAGATTTACATTATTGCAAATCTCCATTCATAATTTGTATACCCCCTCCCATAAAATGTTGTAATAGCATAGTAATTTTTAAATTACACAATTTACCGCTTTTATATACCATGCTAGTAATTAGGGTTTGAATGACAAGATCAAAACAAATCAAATAGAAAATCCTAATCCAAGACAAAATCAAGCATGAAAATAATACACTTGCACACTAGCACCCTTAGGGTTACTCCACTTGGTTGCCTTACATAAAAATGGTCATATTACGCATGCGAAGTATCTTGGCAAAAACAATCAAGTATAAGATCATAGTCCCTCGATGACGCTATTCAAAGTTGCCTTACAAAAATGATCTTAGTCCCTCAAAAAATGTCAAGATACTTTGCAACATTGCTAATCATGGTTATACGAGGACCCACGCCCGTCCCGTTTACATCCAAAGATAGAGTTGCTTACCAAATCAACGGTAAGACAACAATATCAAAGGAAAAGAAAATGAACAAGAAAGACATTTTGAGTAGGTAAATTACTTATAGTTATTTGCTTCATTTCAAAACAACTATCCTTGCTATTTTCAAAACAAACACACACATTTCCAAACATCTTACAAAGATTGAAAAACATTTTCAAAAAGACAAACTTCTTTGTATACATTCTTACGAACGAGAATCATTACAAAGATTGCCTAAACAATTGTCTCTTTTACAAAATACTTTCAAAACCACACAAAACACAATTTCAAAACAAAAAAAAAAAAAGCAAGTGATCTAGCAAGTAACTAAGAGTCCATGGAAAACCATGAATAAAAAGGGTGCTAATACCTTCCCTTTTCATAATCTATCCCCCGAACTCAAGAAACAATCTCAAAGGTTTTTCCTGTGCTTTTTCACCTTTCCTTTTAGATAAAAGAAAAGTCGGTGACGACTCTTGCTAACCGCAACATTTGCGATAAAACGCAAAACCCTCAAGTCAGTTCTCCCACTGTATCACACTATGTTAAAAACATAGTAAATAATATAAAGATGTTCCTATAAATTGCATTTCATTTTAAAATTATAATGTAACATATTATTTACAAAATAAGCATGCTAGTCTCTTTCATATTATAAATTACATTGCTATTTTAAAAATATGTTATAACCATCATATAATAACAATATATTAAAAAAAAAAGAAACAAAATGTAAATACAATATTTATGTTACTACAATATATATTTATGTATTAATTATGTTTAGCATAATATCATTAATTATGTTACTACAATATATGTTTATGTATTAATTATGTTTAGCATAATATCATTAACTATGTTACTACAATATATTACTATAAAATATAAATATATAAAATATGTTTTTAATAATAAAGTTTAATTCTGTTTTTAATTAATAATAATAAAAATATGTTGTTTTGAATTATAATAATAATATTCTGTTTAATAAAATAAAATAAAACGTTTATGTTTTTATAAATATTAAAATAATAATATTATGTTTTAAAAAATAATAATAATAATCAGTTTTAAAAAAAAAAATCTGTTTTAACAAATAATAATAATATTCTGTTTTTTATAATAAAAAAATTATGTTTTATAAAATAAAAATATACTCTGTTTAGTAAAATAAATAAATAAATCTGTTTTTAGAAATATTAATAATATTCTATTTTTTAAAAAATAACAATAATAATCTTCTTTTTTTAAATAATAATATTCTATATTTCTTTATATTTTAATATTCTGTTTTAAGAAATATGTTAATCTGTTTTTATAATTATAATATTAATAATAATATTCTGTTTTTAAAAAATAACAATAATAATCTATTTTTTATTTTAAAATAATATTATGTTTTATAAATATAGTATTAATAATAATATTCTTTAAAAAATAATATTTTATTGTTTTTAAAAAAGTAATATTATTCTGTTTTTAAAAATATAATATTCAATTTTAAAAATATATTATACATATTTATATTTATTTCTATTTTAATAATATCACATTTTTAAAAGTATTTTTTTTTTAATTTTAAACAATATATTATAAATCTGTTTTACAAAAATAATAAACCAAATCTATAATATTATTTATTTATGAAAAAACGAAAAATATCATACAACATATTTATTTATGAAAAAATGAAAAATATCATACAACATATTTATTTATTTATGAAAAAACGAAAAATAATAAACTATAAACATATATTCTATCATTTCAACATATCTATACTCAATAATATCATACAAATTTTAATAAATAACTTCTACAATATTCCACACTAATCTAAGCACCATTATTTCTATCATTAGCTCATACAAATCTAACCAACTCATACAATCAATTTATTTATATGTTTAAAATAACAAACAATTTATAAATATGTGTGCTTTTGCAAATGGATTTGATGAAAATATAGAAAGCAAATTCAAATCCAGCAAGAAATTTGAGTATTCGAGGTCTTGATTTGGTGTTAAAATTGAGATATTTGAGAGATATAGAGGGGTTGTGAAAGAGTTGGAGAAGCTGAAACAAAGAAAGAAGAGAATGGTTCCGGAATGGAAAAAATGGGAAGCGTGTTGGTCATACATAAAGGAAACTTGTGAGGTGCATCAAACCCCGCAAAATTTATTACCGTTGCAATTTGCAAGGTGACTATAACCCTGCAACCAATCATGTCAGAAGTGCGCAGAATGTTCACCTGCCCCTCTATTTAATCAGTAATTAAAATCAATATTTTCCACCAACTTTTACAAAAAAATCTTGTGACGTGGCTTAAACCCCGCAAAATTTCTTCTTATTGGCACTTCCGAAGTGCAACTCACCTCGCAAAGTCTGTGACAATAAAGTTTACTTGCGACCACTGACGCATCAATAATTGGACAAATAGATTTGCCCCCATTTTTTAAAAACAGTTGCGAGGTGTTTTTCACTTCCCAACTTTCTTTTCAAAAAAATTAAATTTCCCTCCATCAATTGCGAGATGGAAATACTTACACTTTTTTTTATAAAAAAATTTGTGTTGCAAGGTGACTAGCACCCCGCAAGTATGTTTTTTTGTGAGATGATTAACACCTGGCATAGTCATCTGGCTAATTTCATATTTTCTTGTAGTGAAATAAAAATATAAATTGTAGTAGGTGGGATGCGAATCATGTTCGGAATGGTTTATCCCTCAGTTTTTATATTAACAGATAGAACAAATTATTTTTATTTTTATAAAAAAATAAAACATGGCGCGCATTAGAATAATACCTCGATTTTTTTCTAGTTGACGTGAAAGCTTCATCATAAAAAAAATTATTAATTATAGTGATATAAGTAAAATACACCAAATATAGATCAAACTAATGAATTGAAGATAAAGTACTCTTGAAAAATAGTTAAGATTTCATCGATCAAGGATCTAGGAGACCTTGACACCATATATCTAATTAAAACCTTAAGCAAATTAGGTCACATCTCTTACGTACCCCACATTTATTCCATTTTGGTTGATATTGGACTTAGCCTCTCACTTTGATTTCAACAATCTCTTCTACAAGTGTGAGTCACCCACTTCACTAGTCTTGATCCATACTAGGATTCTAATTCCGCATTTATAGGTGTTGCGTTTGCTGCCATTTCAGATTAGGTGTCGTGTTTGCTGCCATTGCGGATTAGGTGTTGGAAAGTAAACGCAACCGCAAGTTAAAATCATGCTGGAAAGTACTTTATAAACTTGGTATAATAGTTTAAGAAGTAATTGAAATTTCTTTATCAAGTACTTAACAAAGAGATTTAGAATATACTTGGTGGTTTTGAGGTTGTTTTGAAATTAAGGTGATTGATCCTGTGCAATGGTTTAAATTATTTTGATTACTGTTTCACATTTGTAAAAATGGTTGAGGTAAAGTTTTATCTTTGTTTTCACGAAGAATCCAGACAAACATGACACAGTGACATATTAACATCGATATAGGTTAAAAAAGAGTACATATATTCATGTTGTATCAGACATTGGATGTGTTATCATTCAGAAGTGTTACTACATGAGTTTGGAAATATGTATAATAGCATATTAACTTTGCCAGCTGAGGGCACCTTACACATTTGGTCACTAAGTAGATCCTGTGTTTCCTTTTTCAGTAATTCAATATTAAAAATGGAACTTTATAAATAATATGAAACTGCTAAATGTTATTATATATTGAGATAGCGATAGTGGTAACTTTACACACTTTCTGTTAGGTATAGAGCAAAAAGATCCATCATGATTATAAGTATCAAGACAATTCGACCAATCATATCAACTTTTTAACAATTATTGAACGTGATTCTGCTTCTAGTTCTTATATCAAAAATGAGATTTTCAAGCTAACCAAAAGGAGTTGTGTTGTTAATATCAATTGATACTATTCTATTTACTAGCTGAAAGAATTATCATTCTGCACAAGTATACAATTTACTTCAAATTAACATACAATGCAACTAGGATATTACTATGCTGAAGAACTAATTTGATACAACAATTCAAAATCAAACTTGTTTTTATTCATCATCTTTATGTTCATCTTTGGCAGCTAATGGATCATCATCACCTTGATGTTCATCCTTTTTCTGATCATCTTTGACTGCTAATGCCTCGTCATCACCTTGAAGTTCATCATCATCTTTGGCCGCAAATGCATCGCCATCACCTTGATGTTCATCTTCTTTGACTTCTAATGCATCACCATCGCCTTGTTGTTCATCTTCGACCATTGATGCATCATCATCACCCTGTTGTTCATCTTTCTCTTCATCTTTGGTTGCTAATAATGCATCGTGATCACCTTGTTGTTCGTCATCCTTTTGTTCATCTTTGGCCGCAAATGCATCATCATCACTTTCTTGTTCATCATCTAAGGCTGCTAATGCATCATATATTTGTTGTTCATAGTCTATGTCTGTTAATGCATCATCATCACCTTGTTGTTCATCATCTTTCTGTTGTTCATCACTGACTGCTAATAATGCATCGCCGTCACCTTGTTGTTCATCATCCTTTTGTTCATCTTCGGCCGCAAATTCATCATCATCACTGACTGCTAATGCATCGCCATCACCTTGATGTTCATCAGTTTTAACTGCTAATTCATCGTCATTACCTTGTTGTTCATCATTTTTCTGATAATCTTTGACTGCTACTAATGCATCGCCATCACCTTGATTTTCATCATCTTTCTTTTCATCCTTGTCTGCTAATGCATCGTCACCACCTTGTTGTTCATCTTTGACAGCTAATGCATCATCAGCAACTTGTTGTTCATCATCCAATGGAATTGGGATTTCGTTTCCTGGCAAGAAGATATTGAATCTTGAAAGTAAATCTTTGTGCTCTTTAAACAACTCTATCGCTCCTTCTTTCACAGCTTCTATATTAATTCTTCTGGCCTCATAATCACGTATGAGTCTCACAAATTCGTCAAACTTTTCAATCTTATCTTCGAACATAAATTTCACTGTCTTTACATACGCCAATACATCATCAAACGTCTGATCTGTTCTCCAACTGCTCATCTTGAAAGCTGAAACCAAAACTCAAAAGGTAGAGGGATGTGAGAGAGAGGAAGAGAGAAATCAATGAGGTGAGTGAGATTATATAATGAGATGTTTTGCCGCTATATATATATATATATATATATATATATATATATATATATATATATATATATATATATATATATATATATATATATATATATATATATATATATATATATAGTTAGTAGAAAACTAACAAACCAACTATCTATTTACAAACCCTAACTAACTTAAAGGTGCATTATAACTAACTCGTATTTCTTGTTTTTTTCCTTACGTGACAGGTAAATTTGAAAGAGTTTGAAAATTAAGACTTATAATGCACATGAACTAATAAATTAATATGATATCCTTTTTAAAATATTTAACATAATAATTTTGAAATTTTAGAAGAATCCTCCGCATATTCTCCATATATTTTAAATGTTAAATTAAACTATAAAAAGTGTTTTATTTTTTGCTGGGTTAAGATTATAGGCGTGATGCATCAAACACCTAAAGAAAGATATATGAACTAGTTCAATTTTATAAAGATAAGCTATATGAATCAATTATACTCCGTGTATTTTATAAGTCTATCACTCACATCCCGTAGCTTTTGTTGATAATACTGTAATGCGCTAATATAGACATTGCATGTGCTTCTCTCGTTTCTATTTTAGACTTCACCAAGATCTCATACAAGCAACGTCATTTAACACTCACCACTATGTCAAACAAGCACATAGACAGTGCTTTTTTTGTCCATAGACAGCGCTTATAAGCGCTGCCTATTCCTGCACTGATGTAACTATAGACAGTGTTTTTTGTCTATGTGAAAGCGCTGCTTAATGTAGACCTTAGACAACACTTTATTGAATAAGCGCTTTCTAAAGGCCTCTATAGGCAGCACTTTTAACAACGTAAGCGCTTTCTATAGTGTGCCTATAGCAGCGCTTCAGAAAATTCTTTCTAATGTTTTTTTTTTTATATTTTAGGCAGCGCTTTTAACATTATAAGCGCTTTCTATAGTGCGCCTATAGCAGCGCTTTTACTTTAGACAGCACTTGAGGAAGCGCTGTCTAATGTATTTTTTTTCTTTTTTTTTTATATTTTAGGAAGCGCTTTCTAAAGTCCCCTTTTAGGCAACGCTTGTTATTTCACAAGCGCTTTCTATTCTCCATCATAGGCAGCGCTTTTTGGTTTAAAGCATTGTCTAATGTTCACAGATTTTTTAATATATTCAGCTTATATTTTAAGTGCCCTGTACACATAAAGACCGAGGAGATTTATCTTTGTTCTGTTTTGCAGATTATGGCTTGCATGCGCAGAAACACCATCCGAGTTAACTTTGTGCAAATATCTGCTCAACTCAAAGATTTAGCCTCGAGAGTTTCTGATACTTCTTCATTCATTAGAAGACATGGTCAGCTTCTTAGTTTGGTCACCTCCAGGTTTGATGAGCAAATGATGAGTGTGATTTTCCAGTTTTTCGATCCAGTGCATCATTGTTTCACCTTCCCGGATTATCAGCTAGTTCCCACTTTGGAAGAGCTTTCTCACTTATTGGGCATATCCATCCTTGAGCAGATGCCCTTCACAGGTTTAGAAGAAAAACCTAGACCAGAGGACATTGCTTCAGCTTTACACTTGAAAAAGGCTGATGTAGTGTCTAATTGGGAGACACGAAGCGGGGTTAAAGGTTTCTTAGTCAAGTTTCTGATGGATCAAGCTCAACAGTTCTGGGATAATTTAGACTTTCAGGCTTTCGAAGACATTTTGGCCCTCCTTATCTACGGCTTGGTTCTTTTCCCGAATCCAGATTCCTTCATAGATGTGAATGCGGTTAAGATCTTCCTGTCTCGTAATCCCGTACCTACTCTTCTGGGTGATATCCTACATGCCCTCTATACCCGTACTGCACGAAGAAGAGGGACCCTCATGTGTTGCACGCCGCTACTGGCGAGGTGGTTTATTTCGCACCTCCCCAAGTTTGTATTGAAAAATGAGGAAGGTTTAGGTTGGGCTTACAGAATCATGTCACTTGCCCACACAGACATTCTTTGGAGTTCTAAGGATATGGAAAGAGTAGCTATCATTGATCGATGTGGGGAATATATTAATATCCTGTTGCTTGGAATTAGAGGGGGAATAACCTACAGTCCTTGTTTGGCTTTACGACAGTTTGGTCGCGCTCGAAGAGACGGTCCTCATGAGCTGCTTCTTACAGATATTGCATTTGATTATAAGGAGGACGTTGAAAAGCATCGCTGAAGGTTTATACGAGCCTGGGGCATGGTGAACAGGTATGACCCTCACGAGCTAGGACCAAAGACTTCTCTCCCTATGCAACCATATCTCCAATGGGTTCGAGCTCGGGCTCAAAAGCTTGGGATGCCTTATAAAGTTGTTTTGCCAGTGATTGTGGAGCATACCAATGAAGAGGGCGTTCCTTATACGGTCCTTTATCCCTACATGCCTACTGATCTTGGGGCATTGAAGAGATCCTGGATTCAGCTGAAAGAGGAGAGGGATACCTACCGAGAGAAGTATCATGAGCAGGAAAGGAAGATCTTGAAGCTCACGAGGCAACTTGAGAATGAAAGGACAATCAATGATTGCGTCAGCACGAAGGGAAAGCGACCATGGGATTTCTGATTTTTGCTTGTTTCTAGTTTAGATTTATTTTCAGTTTATTTCTTTTGTAACGCCTTAAAGGCATTGTTAAACATTTTTACAAGTTTTATCTAATAAAGTTTGTTTATTTCTTGGTTTGCAAATTTAAATCTCCCAAAATCTTTGAAATCATTTCATACGCATTCCATTATCATGCACCTCATTACAGGTTTCTCATCTTCTTCGCTGTTTATTTCAGCACAGAATGTCTTCTGAAATACCTATTGATCAAGCTATCAAAGCTCTTCAAGCGCAGAATGACCAATTCCAAGAGATGTTCTTGAACTTGGCCAAAGGACAACAGGATTTGAAGACTCTCATCCTGAAGGAGAAGAAGAAGAAGAAGAAGAAGAAGAAGAAGGTGGTTCTACTGAATATGGGTCATAGATTTGGGAACATGTTGCGACAGGAAGCTGATCTATCTCATTCATCTAAAGGAGGAGAGAATCAAGAGGAAGAAAAGGGTCTTAGTCCTGTAGTCTCTGATAATGACACTGATTTTGATGACGAACAGTATCCTCCTGCTGAGGATAGGTACAAGCAACTCGAAGACCGTCTGAGTGCAATGGAGATTCAGAAGGTCCCTGGGTTGGATTTCGAAGATCTGGGATTGGCATATAGGGTGGTGATCCCTCACAAGTTTAAAGCTCCAGTTTTTGCTAAGTACGAGGGAGCATCCTGTCCAAAGCTCCATCTTCGCTCGTATGTCAGAAAAAATCAACCCTACACTGCTGATAGAAATTTGTGGGTTCATTTCTTTCAAGATAGTCTGTCAGGGACTCAGCTTGAATGGTTCTATCAATTGGAAGGAGCTAATGTCCGCAACTGGGAGGACCTTGCTGCTGCTTTTTACAAGCAATACCAGTATAATGCCGACCTTGCTCCCACGCGTACTCAACTTCAGGGTATTTCTATGGGTGCAAGCGGAGGTTTTAAGGACTATGCTCAGAAGTGGAGAGATCTAGCTGGAAGAGTCCAACCCCCTCTGTCTGATAGGGAGTTGGTGGATATGTTTCTTGGGACTTTGTCTGGTCCATTTTTCAATCATCTGATCAGTAGTTCATCATCTGGGTTTACTGAATTGATCTTGATCGGGGAGAGAGTAAAAGCTGGTATCAGAAGTGGCAAGATACATAAAGGTGCTTCATCAAGTACAGAAAAGAATCCTTTCAGGAAAGAAGCTAGTGCAGTTTACAGCTCGAGGAGCTAAAACCGACCTGAACACCGCCAAGCAGTTAATGTGGTAGTAATATCAAGACTCACCGTTGCCCCACAACGCAACAATCAGCAAAGAGTAGAGAGACCGCAAAAACAGTATACTCGGCTCAGTGTGACTCTGTCTCAAATTCTTTCGCAATTGTTGAAGACTAACCTGGTAACTCTGAGGGAAGCTCCGGAGAATCCCAGCACCACATCTCCGTTGTATAACCCAAACGCCCGATGCGCCTATCACTCTGATAGTCCAAGGCATGATACAAACAACTGATGGGCCTTGAGGAATAAGGTGCAAGATTTGATTGAAGTTAAAGAAATCGAGTTTGACGCACCGGAAAAGCCTAACGTCATGACTGCCCTCATGCCCAAGCATGGAGTAAATGTTGTGGATGATGACTTATTTGTGACCTCTGTGAAAGATATTTCTACTTCGTTGATGACAGTTAGAAGAACCTATTATCGACCGGTTTATTTCCGGGCTGTAGCGAAGGTTGCCACCTATGTTCAATCCTGCCTGCTGGTTGTCATTTATTGAAATCAGGTGTTCAACGCCTGATGGATAACAAAGAGATCATGTTCGAGAAAACTTTGATTCCATTGATTCCTGTTGAAGATGTTTCCATCATAACCATTTTCGCCAATCCTTCCAAGGCTTCCTCGAGAAATCCTGTTAGGATTACATCTGTTCCAAGAGTTTCTCCATTAATCATTACCATTCCTGGTCCTGTCCCATACACTTCGTATAAGGTTGTCCCGTGGCACTATGGGGCCGATGTGTATTATCATGGGATCAAACAAGATTTGAAGGTCGAAGAAGCTGATACTGATGTCAGCAATATTGTCGGGGATAGAAAGGTCACTCGGAGTGGAAGGCTCTTCTCTCCTGAGATTTCCCCTCTGACTGTTCAAAAGCCTGTTGCCATTACATCTGCCAGCACATCGGCTATTGTCCCAGTTCATATTCCAGTTATCACCCTTGTCGCCGAGTCATCTGACACTCAGGGCAAAGAAGTCACAGGTGATCCTGCCTGGACGGAGGTACCTAAGAAGGTCATTGTAGAAACCTCTAGGCAGGAGATAGAGGAAATTCTGAAGATTATCAAGAA